TTTGATGAATCATAGTATAAACTACACATGAATATCTGAAGAACCATTTTAATCTTAGCATAAAAATCCTAAATCCTGTGATTATTTTAATCATCGAGACACAAGCTTAGAGTAACTATTAAAACTTAGTTTTCTCTGATCCTTTAGCTTGTAGAATCAAAGGCTATATTCAGTTTATTCATAGTTAAAAGCTTCAAGAATATTTGTGTGAGAATTGTTTGCAGTAAAAAGTACAAAAAAACCAATCTGCTAATCACTGAAATAAAAAATATTTGACACTTCCCTCACTTGTAATTGATCTGTTAATCACTGAAGTAAAGCCCTCACTTGTAATTGATCTGTTAATCACTGAAGTAAAGAATTACACACTCCTTGTAATTTAGTAGAAGAACCAGGAAAAATGGATAAATTATTTCTGTTAAATCACTTGATATTGGTGTATAGCATGTCACAATCTTAAAATCTAATAGCTTTAGTGGAACTGGAAGTCGTCCAGGTTCAACAGCAATGGGCATCATATTACCTTGATATCGTCACAAAGATAAGCTTCAAGATTGGTATCAGCAACATGAAGGCATATCAATTTATTACTCAAACATGAGTGTTTAACAAGTCAATCTAGCATAAATTTCACTAAATCAGGTCTATCTTTAGAGTTTTGACTAAGAACCATAGAAGGCGTAGATGGTACTGCATACATATTTTACCAACTCATATTTTCATTACCTCTGACTTAGACACCCGGGACAGGGTTGAACATGAAAAAAATGAATTCATGCCATTTTTTGGAACGGTCTATCTCAGTTCTCTTTCTGTCATGAATGTTAGTAAATATCATGAGTGCTTCTGTTCATGATATCATCTCCTCAAATATAAGGAACTGGCATGCAAGTTGTTGGATGAACCGTTAGTCACGAGATGTTAATTTCATTTGGACTCTAAATTTCTTCTCTTGTTTTTAGGCAATAAAACTTTATGCAGATTTTTATGAGGTCTCCATCTATTGCTTTGAAGCTATGTCAATGTGATATCACAGAGAATGGATATATATTTAGATTTGATTATGCCTTGATTCATGATATCATATTTCTTAGACTTAAACATCATCTGCTTTTGCATAATTGCATGGATGGAAACACTCCGTTTTTTCTAGCTGTACCAGTATGGTTATTCCTATCAATTATTTATAGTCAACATTTTTGGGAATTTTTGTTGGAGGAAGGTTAGGAGTCAACAGTTTTCTAGTGTGTTTTCCATTGAATTTGTAGTTTGAGCCCTTAAATAGAGAGCCTGCTGGTCTACTAGTAGTAGGTTGTCAAAGAGGTGCCTCCTAAGATTTCATTTCCTGCTTTTTCTTCTTCTAGCTAAGAATACCAATAAGTTTGAAAGGGTCTCAAAATTTGTCAAATTCAAGTACACTACTCAAAATTCATGTTTAAGGGTTATGTGCAAAGAGCTGATGCTCTATGGGGTAGTATGTTACAATTCTATTGTTTGGAGAACAGATACATTTCTTTCCACCTATTGTTTGTTACTTGATATGCAATGAGTAGTGAAAATAAGCACGTCCTTGCTTGCAGTTCTAGAAATTGATGCGCTGAAAGAAAAGGAAAAAAAAATCCTTTTGGTATGTACAAGGTTTTAAATGTCGGATGTCGGGTTTATGTCGGATGACTGAAATCCATGCCGGATAGCAAAAATCGGGGATATATCGGGGGACATTGACTAAATATCGGATTACCATACCGGATAGTGCGCATATGAATAATATCATGTCCTAAATGTAATCTAAGCATTCATAAATTCAATATAAGCCTACTTTATAAATTCTATAAACTAAACATATAAAAAAGTAAATAATATATGGATTTGGGTTCATAAATTTTTTCTATCGGGTTCATAAGAAACCCTTAAACATGAGAACATGTCAAACGGGTTTGGGTATTTATCACTAAACCCAAACCCGATAACAAAAAGCAGATCTTAAAAAAAAAAAAACGTATCGGACGATTTTTCAAAGCTAAAAAATAGGCCGATATGCCCCATATGACCTTGATATTTCCGATTTAGCCCTGAAAACCGACATACGAGTTGAAAACGTCCATGTCGTGTCGGTCAAGCCTCAAACCGATATGTCGGCCGACATGTCGGACATGTGGGCCGACATTTAAAACCTTGGGTATGTAAGAGCACAAAGAAGTGTTATCTGCAACCTCCAAGAATTTTGAATTAGTTGTTCATGTCCCTCATTTCAGAAAAGAGATGGATCAATATCCTAATCCATTATCTTTGAGAAATATTCTGCTTGGGTTCCCTGAATGGCTAAGTGGTAGGATCAACAAAATCCAAATCCTAATCCAATCCTTCCTTTCATACTTCATATCATCTTGTATAGTAGGTGAAGGTTTTGTTTCTTTTGCTGTTCTTGGCACCTTGATGATTTGGACTCACTGTCACTACTCAGTCGTGACGTAGGAACTGATTCAAGTTTGTCATTGATTCTTAGCCCATTTAGTGCTCCTTGCTATTTGAAGACCTGTCCTTGTTTGGAAGCTGAGTTTATCCTGCAGTTCGGCATACAAGACAGGTCGATTCAGTTAGGACGTGAATCAAATCCAAGCCTACTAGCAAATGTTGCACTAATCATGACCTGAATCAGACATTTTAAATAGGTAAAAACCATTCATTCCCAGCATACAGTTAGTTTGGATGGATGACCAGGTTTACCTTACAGATGTTTTTGATCGCATTGTTTTCGACTGAACTTCATTCATTGTTATTCCTCACATTCTCATTTTCTTCTATTATTAATCTAATTTTTTTTCTATCTGTTGAAGTGAACCTGTGAGATTACCTACTCTAATACATGCGTATTTTCAGCATCAGATATTTAATGCTCAGCACCAGGATCATATCAATTACCCTTTTTGGATCAACAGAAATTTAAAATTTCATATTCAAAGCCAGATTCGACGCAATAAGCATACTGGTCAAATTTTCATGATGAGGGAAAAACAATTTTATTAATAACTTATTCAGATTACTTGCAGATTAATGTTGGTATGGGGCTTCTAGTTGAGGAACCTAGAAGGTTTTGCTGGTTCGGCATTAATACACCAAGCCCTTCACTTTCGGTATTGCTACTTGTCAGTCGGATGCCCATCCTTCTTTTGGTTGCATTTAACTTAATCTTTTAGTCCAAAGGTTAGAGGCTAACAAGTAATACTAGTTTGATATCAATGACTGTTTCTGCTGAAAAATTAGCTTCTATCATGTCTATTTCACACCCAGTTCTCTTTAATTTCTTGGTTGCCTAATGTTTAAATTTGGCAGCAGCATATGTTATCTGTGGAGCTAGATATACGGCAATAATTCCAGTTATAATGATGTCAAGATCTCTCTCTTGTTAGAGTCTGGGTTGGATAGTGTGTATTTAGCATCATGCTTTATGTGGGCGTGAGGGTGGGGACAGACAGTTGCAACCACTTTAAGGAGAGGTTTTGTGCCATCAATTAGACATGGGAAAAAGAAAAGAAAAGAAAAAAAATCTTATATTCCTTAAGAGGATGGATTGCGTGGTATTAATTCCCTGTGGGGATTCTCATTTTGGATTAATAATTGATCTTATCACCAGCAACTATTGCGTGATAGTCTTTTTAAGTTCTAAATTTGTAATTTTCTCAAAGGGAAAACTGGAATTTTCTTGTAGGAGGAGAAGAATAAAGTTGGGGTATTTGCTATCTGAGGTTGCATATTCGTAAAGAAGTCTGATGCTAATAATTGACCTATTACTTTTGGTAGTTTATCACAGAAAGAACAAGCACTCCTTCTGAGTTAGGGTATGGGCCTAGTTCCTGAAAAGCTTAATTTTGAAAAGCTTACTTGATACAATACATTTTAACTCCCTTTAACTTGGCTAGTGGTTACAAGCTGTGGGGTTGGGAGAGAGAATATGTGCACTAAAAGAATAAGTCTCCGTAATCAAAAGCTTAATTTTGATGGCTGATCTTGATGGTTCTTGTCTTTCCTTTGTTCACATGTGCATTCAACTGTAATATCATCACCGTTCTCATTGTCATTTAAACCTTTCTTCCCAAAAAATTAGACCGATGCATACATCTCTGAATGTGCCGCATGTACAATCAACAAGATGGGTGACTGACAAAATTAGATGACAAGGACTTGCTTTTATTGCATGTTACACCCGGCAAAAAAAAGAAGGAAAAATAATGAATCAATGTAATTTAGTAAAAAATTATGTTAACTGCAAATAGGTTAGATGTGAGTTGAGTCTGCACAATTTGGTCCCAAGTCTATCAACTTTACCTTCTTTCAACATTCAAATATGAGACCATGCTTTTATGTTTTTGCTCTCCTTTTTACTGACTGCTTTACAACATTGTTTAAATCACACAATTCGTCGCTCGCTATCCTATTTGTCAGAAATAGGTAATAATTGTACGATACAATTTTGTGAATGCTAAACCGTTTCTACATGATTTCTGGCAAATAAAACCAGTGATAAATGAGTATCTCTGTATTCTAACTCTACTTTGTTTAATCATTTAGAATAGAAGAACTTTTATGATTTATCATGGAAAGAGATCCTTATTGACAATGTCTTAGGATACTTTTGCTTTTCTATCTCCTTCCATTATCCTCTTCCTTTCATCTATTCCTTTTGATGCCTTCATACCTTTTTAACAAAGGGTTGCACATTATTTTATTGTGCCGAGTATTTTTGAAGCTGGCAAGCATCCTAGGGTCAGTCTTTCAATCATAGTGGATACATGGAAATCTAGTTTTTAACCATCCCCTTCAATGTGGACGAATAAACAAGTATCTCAAGTAGAATTTCAAATGTTTTAAACTTTAAGTTACACTGCCTCTTCCCCCGATGTATTTTATTTATCTTATGTATATGGGTGTCAAAGTGAATTGGTAGCTTAAAAGATAGTGACTTTCGGAACCCTAAATTGGATATTTGTCCTGTAATGCAGAGACTGTGCCGGAGATAAAGAGGAAAGATGATAATTACGCAATAGTCTAAACTCGATGATTTTGATGCGAATGGACTATGGACGCAAAATTTTAAGAGAAGATTTCTTGTGTGACTAATGCAGTGGTTCATCCTTTGACAACATTGAAAATTTGGAAGCCTTAACACTTGCATTGGTTGAGAGGTACACAGTTAACTGACGCTAGAGTCTGTATTTCTGTTCCCTTGATTGCACAGCTGTTATCTAATGGTTATGCTAGATGTTTTCTTGCGATAGTTGTATGATGACTTGCACCGAATATTGATATAACTTATCAGGTTGCATCTTTTGTTGTGCACAGTACAAATTATTGACACAAACCTTAAGGGTATAGAAACAGCTTTGATGGTCTTCAAATGTTTGGTGAGAATTTGAAGTTTGTTGAGTAGATCAATTTGTCAGTGCGAAGTACATAACATAATCTCTTTTTAGACAATTGACATTTGGAAAGCGATGAGCTTAATAGCACTTGGTCAAGATTATTTGCATGTACTATAAGAATTAAGTGAAGTTGGGTGATTGGAGTTCAGTGTTGCTCTGTCCACATGCACTAGAATGTGTTATTAAATCCAAAAGTCCCAGTTGGACCTAAGTAACACAATACATTCAACCGAACTCTTAGAAGAACTCTGTCGTCAACGAAATCAGAAGTGCTCCTTCAGAGTATGCTCAGATTTTCAACATGGTACTCTTGACTTTTGATAATGATTCAGAACGATATTTAAGCTTATGGATCATAGAATCATTCATCAAATGGCGGAAGGCCAGGTCTATTCGAAAGAACTTTACATGGACCAAAATCATATGGCCCTCGAGGTCTACTTATAAATCCGCATGTTTTGTAACATGTATTCTAAATCATATTTGTTCGGTTCCTCTTAGTTGAGAGGCCACCATTGAGGATGCATATGAGTTTACACAGTTTATAGTTGATTTCCAATACCATAGAAAATTGCATTAAAATGAGAATCAATGTTATGCCGCAATTGCCGCCAGAACTGGTGTCACTCTTACAACAACTTTAAATTCTTGGCCTCGAACAAGATTTGATCTTTAAAAAGAATTGAACTTCCAAATGGAGTATAGTACCCCAAATAATCAAGTCAAGTGTCAAGCACTTGGTGTGTGGTCATGAGATGAGAGTAGTAGGAGGCACCTACCTTGAGGCAACTTGTTGAGTGATGAACACCATTGATAGTAGAGTTTTCCTTTGACAACCGAGAACACCAGGATACTATAATAAGGGTTAGTAAATGCTTACCTAATCAACTTTAGCAGTTTCTTTGCTTTTCTGCATGCTCTTAGTAAGACCAAGATGACCTTTTGTTTGCTATCCTCAATATGAGCAGACCCAACACCTTAATTGGAGGGTTGTCTCCTTCTTCATCAGTAGCTATAACTAAAATGCAGCTCTTCACCTACTGTACTAACTAGAAAGCAGTGGCAAATAGTAGGAATTCAACCGTACAAATTGAATTAAGAATACTGACGAAAAGATATGTTTATTAATTATTTCAGAATAAAGCCAAATATAACAAGGAACAGATTCCGGTAATTGTTCAGGTTGCTTTTGGCCTTGATGTGCTATCCTGGTGTAAATAATGCAGAATACTAGAGACATTTGTATTTAAGGATATTTATACTGACTTTTCCTACAATGAGATTGTTTCTTTTGTTGACGCAGATATATTTGGCTGATGAATGATCACCCGCTTACCACTGGAAACTGAAATAGCATGAGCCTAAAGGCCTATGTAAGTTTTGTCATGAACTTTCAGAAATTTCATGGAATTAGAGACTAAAGTTTTGCCATTCTTGCTTTTGTGGAATTTCTTTGAATTGTTATGGAAACATCCCTATTAGCTCTTTGAATGACAGGGTTGTCAGTGAGTCTTGGGTCTTTTTACCTAAACTAGTGGGTTTCCATTTTCTGAGGGAGGCATAAAGAAGTACCATGCCAATTTTTTTTGGCATTTCCCTGGTCCTTTTCAAGACAAACTCACTCACTCATGAATACGTCGATCATTCACCAATCTCTAACAAGTTTTATTAGTAAGGAGATAGTAAAAAACGTCAATCAATTAGTTAAAGATTTATTACTTATTTGTTTGTTTGTTTATTTTTTTGCTGGGGCCCGCGGCGGCGGTGGGGGTGGGGTGGGGGTGGGGTGGTTTAGGATGATCATACCAATCGTTTTCTTCTTTGACGTAAACAGTTAATATTTATAGATGTATCAAGCGTAAACAATCAAAGAAACCAATACCCTGCAATCAACATCATATTAATAAATTTTTTTGAGGCAAATATTCTATAAGCTACTTCTATCAGGCTGACCATGATTAGGAATCTCACCCGGGGGGGGGGTCCCCCTTTTTTTAGTAACTAGAACGGTAATTCAATTATAAACTATAGGTTCCTAATTAAACAGCTATTCTATTAAGGGGATATGGGTCCGTATTAAGGCAAGCAATAAATGAAGTCACGAATAGAGTTATACCTAACTAGCTTTAGCTACCCATCTTATTTTTCTCTAAATCAAAAGAGAAGACGGCCAGAGAAGGACCAGAACAAACTTTGTCTCGTATCTCTCTATGGCCAGACCCACACGCTCAAAATTGCTGGCTCTGTGCTAGCTAGAGAACAATAATAGAGATTAAGGAATATCATGAAGTAGAGCGAAATAAGCGTACAAGCTAGAGAGAGTTTGGGTAACATCCAATTTCTATTTTGGGGAAACAATGTGGGCATTCGATAGATTAGTTTTCAGCCATCAAGTAGGCTTAAGCTCAATGGATTGCTGTGGTCTCATTTGGGAGAGTCACTGCTTCAAGTTTCATGCTTATGGACTTGATAATTGAGCTAGCTAGAAGTTGGGCACCGGCTCAGCCAATATTGCTTGCATGTGACATGTGTAGTGTAGGCAGAAAAACAACTGTTTCTAGCCTTTTTGTGATGCAAGAAACTCACACAAAAAAGAAAGAACTTGCAGCGTTGGTTATAACCCTTGATTGTAATGAGCAAGGAAACAAAACGGAGAGAAGCTATTCTAGAATTATTGAAGAATTGGATCAGGTAAACTTCAACAGGATCCATGGATCATAGTCAATATTGATTGCCCATCTCACAACTACCACATGTAATAAAATTTGCATGCGAACAGCTATGAGATGATGACATTTACCTAGGTACAATTTGTTCCATTATTGTTATTTTTTATACATGTTTTAAATTGTAGCTAGTAGGTCCATGGAAACAGGACCCATGCAGTGGGATCCACAAGCGTGGAAGCCATGCAACCAAAAAAAAGAAAAAAAAAGAAAAAAAAAGGAAAAGAGGTTGACAACAAAAGAATGTCCAAGGTGTCAATTCATAGTATGTAATGTTTAAACCTCCATACATGATTCTGTTCATCATGAGTCTCGTTATTTGTTCTTGATCAATAGATATATCTTATGGTTGAAGCTTCTTCTGATATTGTCTTCTCACTAATGAAACAGGATGGAAGTTTTCTCATTGGAGGGAAAAGAGAAATCTCAAGGATAAGGTCCATCTGCCTCTCTTTAGATCTTATTGTTAGTAGTCTCAGGCATTAAAGTTCCCTTTTATGCTAGAAATATTTGAATAAGCTTAGCACCAAGTATTTCTAGAAGCCCGCACATCCAAAATCAAAACCAAAAAGTTCTTGGATCCAACGCCTACCAATGCTTGCAATGATTGGCTTTAGTTAGTTATTGAATTTTTTTTTAAAATTTTTTTTTGGACTTTTTAACAGTTCGGCTTTAACACACAGATATAGAATCGGCAGAGTACATAAGAAATCTGTCACTTTCAGTGATCTGTTTCATTCTCCTCCAATTGTAAAGTTGATGCCAACACTTAATATTCCCTCTTTACAATAGTAATTTCTGGAATTTGCGCCTCCCCTATCGAGGCTTTATTAGCCAGCCATCATCCAAAAGGGCACACAGGGAACATTGTTCCTCCCTCTCTTTTAATTTCTACAAAATTGACATGGATATAAAAGCTAATAACAACAATTATACGCACGGCGTTGTAAACATATATATGATTGTTACATTGATAATTGACGATTACATCCTAAATTGATGATAGTTTAGATTTTGAAGTCGAAATTTGTCTTGTCATATCATGCAAACATCAATGGGATTTCTGTAATTCCAAATCTTCCGATGTATTATCAAGTCTAACCCAATTTTATTTGGAAGTTAGTACATACAAAGGGAGTCTACTCAAACTCATTCGCTCCTCTCTCTCTCTAAAAGACGCACAAGGGGAAGAGAGAAGTGAGAGGTCACTTGGAAGTTACTAAATGTTATAGAGCTTTTAACTCATGTGGGCACATGTGAGCCGAGAAAAGTAGGTGTTAGTGAGGACCACATGCGCACGTGCCGCTTTGGCTTGCCCATGTTACCATTTGCAAATGCCCACCATTACCTCAATCTTCTCTTTAATGCAACATTGGGGGTCCCTTTAACCTCTCCTCTTCACTCACATCCATTCTTTATCTCCTCTCTTTTATGAGGATTTTATAAAAGAAAAAAAAAATGAAGGAATTTACTATCTTTTGCTAATATTTTCTTACTTAAAATCCACTTCAAAAGTTGCCATACTCATTAATCTTCCCTTCCTCTTTAACGCATCATGGCACTCTTCAGCCTTCTTTCCCCCTTAGATTCCTTATTTTCCTTTCTTTTATGAGCATTTTGCTGAAATGTCTCTATAAATTTTCTTTCGCTTTCATCCATTCTCAAGAAAAACAATTAGCTATGATCTTTTTGTGAGTTAGAGCATGTAAATTTTTTTCCATCACAATTAAACACCCTACAACATTTTAAGTTTCTCTAGTAATATTGATAATTTAATTTACCTAGTACATATTCATCATGGAGATAAATGACATTAGTTTAAAAAAAACTTTTAACTATCATTAGTTAGCTATAACTGTATAGGGCACTGGCTAAACATACTTCTTTCTAAGATGTATTCACAAGTATGCAATCACAAAAAAGAAATTCTATGAGCATGTTTGGGAATTGGTCAAAATGGCTTATAAGCCACATAGTTTGACCAAGTAAAAGACCGTTGTACCTCATAACATTTAAGAAAATTCGAAAGCTCTCTATTCTCTATCTCCAACGAACCAACCCCTTTTTGATTATTTTGACAACAATGATGGATTATAAGCCACTTATTTGCCAGACATTCTACTATTAGAAATAGATTATAACCCATTAAGTTTACCAAACACTTTGGATTGTATATACTTGAATCATAAGCCATTTGTAGAATTATAAGCTAAGTAGATTATGATCTAAAGTTGCCAAACATGGCCCAAATGTTTGTATCTAAATAAAGGCTAAATGACACTGAAATACCATAAAGATTCACCATTGTGGCACTTAAATACCATAAGTTGTGAGAAAGTGACACTTTAATACTCAAAATTGTAAAAGGATAGCACTTTAATACCCTAAGTAAATTGTCATGAAAAAATTTGTAAGAATTTTCCCATGAAAACTAGCAAAAATGTACTAACATGTCAATATTTTACAGCCAGTGATATTAAAGTGTCATTTTTTACAACCCGTGATATTTAAGTGCGCCGGGGAAACTTTAGGTTATTAAAGTGTCATTTACCCCCTAAATAAAATACTAGAGTTGTCTTTACAGCTTGGAAAAGTAAAGAACAAGTCGTAAGAAAAACAATTTCCTGATTACTGTTGCATCCCCACAGTAACAGTCAACAGGATGCCCCGTCAAATTTCACGAGGACCCACCATTTGCTTCCACAGTGCTGATGGTCCACGGTACTCCCGAATAATTAACGGTAGCCCCTTCTGTGGCCGCCCAATCAAGATCCAACGGATGTCATAAACTATCTACAGTGTCCTGATTGAACCGAACCCGAGGACCGGGTACATAACGGACCACTTGCAAACACACCTGATCCCGACCGTCCCTTTTCTCGTCAACGGTCTAATCTCCGTCGACCTCATGGATAAAACGGAGCCGTTGAGTAAATAGAAACAATTATTGTGGATCAACATGAATTGTCGATTGATGGACCCTCCCTCTCCGCTGAAAGCGGAGCAAGAATACGCATGCAAGCGGAGTGTTGTTAATCATGAGCTAGCACAAACCTTTCGAGAATATATCCTGCGCGCTAGCAAAATGTTTTTTTTTTCCTTGCATTCGGTGCGTTCTGAGGAGATCCATACTCGACCCTTCCTGCTACCTACTCAGTGGCGAAGCCACATGAGACTTGCCCTGTGCAGCTGCTCAATGCAAGATTTTGGGAAATATATTTATATATATATATAGAGAGAGGAAGATGAAAATACAAGGGGATGTTGAGCTTGATGCATTCACTTACAACATGACGCTCTATGCGAACAAGGGCCGATGGATAATGCCACCTAAGATTTACTTTTTGCAATACCTATACTTGCATTAATTATCTTTGGTTATTCTATTCGAGGACAATGGAAAGAAGCTATGAGCATTACAACAAAATGTACTCCGCTCAAAGCTAGGTTTTGTACCGACTCCGACGACTGAGGAGCAGGAGGATGAGGCATCTCCTTTGTCGATGTTTGCGTCTTGGGATTCATCGCTAGCCAGGATTATTTTTTCGCCTAAGTCAAAAAAAAAATCCTGGTTACGTCACTGTACGTACTGTGAATTTTTATTGTAATTGAAAGTTCTTTTGATAGATACAAGAAGGTAAACGGACGGTGTAGAGATTTTCAACCAGAGATTATACGGTTCGAAGCACCCCCCCTCACATGACATTGTTCTGATAACATTTGAACTTTTGAAAGCGAAGATGGCGTGGATGTATTCAGTTAAATTGCATGAGAAGAGATTGAGTGCCGTGAGCACCCAAGCACCTTGCGTTATTGCGCAACTGACGTAAATGCCCCTCAAAATGGGCGAGTGGGTAGGAGGCGGAGGTAGGGGCATTGTTGACATCTCATGGGTGCTTCCTCATCATTTGCATTCATTGCTTTTGTACCTCAAGAGTTTTTATTATTTGTGATAGCTGGGGTCTGAAATAAATAATTAGGAGTTGACGTGGGAGTTTTGTGATGTTGAAATTTGGATAAAAATTAACATTTTTTTAATTTATTTTTACCCTTGTATCTTCCGAGAATGTCCATTGACGTATGAGCTCCTCAAACTGGGAGAAAGAATCATGACAAAATGATGAGGAGACACTATAAAATCATTACAAATTTAGACTTGTATGTCTTGGACTCTAATTAATTAGCATGATATTAGACTGCACTGATGCATTTTCGTATATACTTATCCAAAGATTTTCTCACAACGTATGAATGGTGTAAGATGTAAACCTATTTTGTTTGGCAAATTGGTGAGGAGTTTTGGATTTGTAAAGAACTACAATATAGATATATATATATTTTTTATTTTTTTTGGAAAGGCAAACAGTGGTAGCTGCAATATAAAGTAGATTAAATTAAACCTCATATATTTTACCCCAGTGAAAAAAAATACTATAAATAATATCCTACTATTCATAGAAAACATATCTCACTACGTAATGTTATCTTTAATTTTACAACGCTTCTTGGGATGTTATGAAAGAGGACAGTTTGCGGTTGAGGGTTGACATCAGTAGCGTTAATTTTAGGATAATCGGCATTTATCTCTCTCTCTCTCTCTCTCTCTCTCTCTCTCTCTCTCTCTCTCTCTCTCTCTCTCTCTTATTATTTGACTCGTAATAAAGAATGTTGAGGTTTATCTGTAGGACGTCAGGCCTTAAAAATTGCTCACATCCAGCTGCTTTTTTCTTTCTTTCTAGTATGGGATTTTGCCTTAAAAATAATAAGTGGAGCAATTACACCTTGTGATCCAATATTTTATTTGCCTTGTTTAATTTTCAGTCTCTAATATCCAGATTTTTTTGTAGGAATGTAGATCTAAGAGGGTCAATGTTATTTGTTATTTTTTATGTAAACATGCCAGTTTACGAGATTAAAAAAAAAACATGCTAGTTTATTAAAGAGGCATGAAGTTTGGCGTATATATATTTGAAGCTTAGCATTTGTACATCATCTATCCTGCACTATAACTTTTAAAATTCAATAGTAACCATTTGTGCCTATTGAATACAGTGGAGAATGAAGGGCAAAGGAGGAGGAAATCCAGTGAACAATTATGAGTTTACATGAGAAGCATAAGAAGTAAAAATTTATCCATGTGCTTGCAATGATAAAGATCATTAAAGACAAACAAATAAATTTGTTGATGCCTAGTGATCACACTGTCAATACATATCCAGGGCAGGATAATTTCGATGAGGTAGAGGATTGATGAGGGGATCGTCTTCTTATCCGACTTTATGTCTGGTTCTTGAATTGGGGTTGCTAAACAATCTGCACATGTAGAAACTCGTAAGAGGACGGGGATTGGTTCCCCCGTTGTACCTCCGACGATTAAGTTAGATGATGAACTTGAGTAGAAGAGAAATAATAGAACTTAGAGTTCTTCTTCTGTTTCTTTATTTTGGAATTGCCCCCCCCCCCCCCCCCCC